CGTCGGGAGCCTGTGCTCCGCAACGGGAGAGGCCACAACAGTGAGAGGCCCGCGTACCGCCAAAAAAAAAAAACAACAACAAAGCTTCCACATGACAAAAATCACAACAAGCAGAGGGAAAACAGTTGCCAAGCTGAGGCTGCTGCTTGCATCTTCTGTGTCTGACGGAGGACTGGGCTCCCTGTGTTAGCAGCGTTCTCAAAGCCCAAGAAAATGGTTAAGAGACACGGACGGAGGTTACTGGGGAAATGCAGCACCGTAGGCACAGTAAGAGGTCACTTGTTTTCAGAGAGATGCACATAACAGCCCCACCCGAGGCTCTGTCTCTCACCTGTGTTACAAAGCCCAGTGTGGCAACCCTCCCCAGCTACGGAGAAGCAGGTGCTCTCATACCATTGGTGGGAGGACAAACGGGAGCCCCCAGGAGAAATTAAGTTAAAAAAAAAAAAGGTAAGGTGTAGAGGCATGATTAGAGTGACCTGTTTTGTAGGAAAGAAGGAAAGTGATAATATGCACTGTAGGAATCGGGGAAGCCGTGGATGGGACCACAACTCCCCTGAGTTTGCCTTTCGGATGATTTGACTTGAACCGTGTGAAAGTTTTATGTATTCAAAAATACTATTAAGAGGGAAAAAAGCATCAGAGCCTAAAACTGAATACAAAGAGAAACCATTAAACTTGACCGTGTAGCAGGGCCGCTCACAGAAGGGGGTTCCTTCACAGAGCACATGACCGTACCTCCAAGTACAGCGAGCCGTCCCTCACCCAGCAGGTGCGCTGCTGGTAGAAAATGGGTCCTGTAATTGTGAACACGTGTGAGTTGTCAGGCAATATTAAGCAGTAACTATATCCAATGTTACCAGGATTTTTGGACCAAGAGAAAAATGATACAAATATAAAATAACAGAGGTTAAGGGGAAAAAAACCCTAGAATGTAAAATTTGAATTGGAAATAGTAACATACGTTAGGGATCTTTAAGTGGACATACATTTCTCAGCTCTGTCCACTGACAGGGCTCAGGAGTAATGATGCCCCCACAGGAATGGGTACACGGCCCCCCTCCAGGGGAGAGGGTGAGACAGGGCAGGACCAGGACCAGGTGAGCCCGGGCCATCTCAAGCGTCTGACAGGAGAGGATGATGTGCTGGCATCTGGGAGCCCAGGGGTGGGTCACCCTGAGCGTCAAAGAACAAAGGATGCAGCGCTCTGCCGACAATGACAAGCACACGTCCTCCGTGGGGGTTCTCGGGTAGGCGCAGGTGTGAGCACCCCAGCCTCCCCTGTGGCCCAGGCCGCGAGCAGCCCTCAGTGCTGCCCACAGGCATTTCCATCCTGTGAGGGATCACCTGCCCTCCGAGAGGCACCCTGGCAGCCGCTGCAAGCCGGCCAGGATGGCAACACCAGTGCACCTGGACTCGCTCCCACTGATGCCACTGCAAACAGATCCACAGGTGGGATCATCTCCCGGACAACTGGCCTGGACTCCAAAAGGTCAGTGTCCTGGGGGAGAAGTGGGAACTGTCCCGGATCCAAAGAGACTGAGCACAAGGGGTGACCCTCATAGCTCTCAGAACCTCAGCCCACGAAGCATCTTCTCGGGATGGTCTGAGGGGACAATGTGCTGTCACCTAGTACGTCAGCCACCTCAGGTGTGCAGGAGACTGTCCTTACTGTTGAGATGCCAGAGCATCTAAGGGCAAAGGGTCACCTCAGACCTCTGCCACTCGCTTTCACATGCTTCTGGAAAACGATGGCCGTGTGTGTGCTCCACCCACCCGTCAGCATAAACACGCACACGGACACACACGTAAACCACCAGGTAATCTCAGTGTTTACTGCATTAACCTTTCAACTCTTCCATATGTTTGAAATTTCTCATGATAAACATTTGGGGGCAACCACTGTCTATACTGGAGCTAACCTCACCTGGAGCCCGAGCCTGCGGGGAGAAGCCCCCGTAGACGGGAGGCTCTCACTCCCCTCAGTTTACCCAGGAGCCAACGGGGTCTCTCATGAAACTGGACAAACGGTGACTCTTAAATGCAAGTGGATGGGAACAGGGCCGAGAAAATGTAAGGCACCCGTGCAGAGGGGTGTCTGGGGGGTTGCCCAGGGCAGAGCAGGCCAGAGGAAAAGAACAGAAGCAGCTGAGCGGTGCCGGGCAGAACGGGCATCAGAGAATATGGCGCACAGACGCCTCACAGTGCGCGGAGAAAAGCAAATGAGCAGAACAGCTCCGTGCGCGTCGGGCCGTGTGTGAAGGCAGCTCCGGCCACCTGCCCCGACGTGGGCAGCGGCTCAGCGCTGCTCAGTGGCATCGTGTTTCTATAGAGTTTAAAAGAGAAGAAAAGAACACCCACCTTGAAGGCTGGCGGGTAATCTTTAAAGACATCCATGATTCTCATTACGCTGAAGGACAGGTACCCCGAGGCCGTGAACAGCAGCGGGGCCGCGAGGCTGCAGATGGCTATCAGCACCTCCACCTGGCGGGAAGCAGACAAGAGTGGGAGGTCGGGGTCTGGGAGCCACTGCCCGGACAGAGGGTGCGGCCCGGCAATCACACAGCGGGAGTTACGAGCTGACGTGTGTCTGCGTCCAGTGTGGGGCACCTGCTGAGTCTCTGTGCTTGGTTTGCCCGTTAATTCAAAGCTCACCGTGTGTCTCGCAAGTTTTCTCAACTTAGGCGCAATTCGCTCTGTTGATAAAATAGCACTTAGGAATTGATGGCCTCCTCCCAGTGCCCTCTGACCTGCTCCTGCGACCTCCCAAGGCCCTCCCGCCTCAGAGAGCCATGCCTGGCCCAGAGGCCACGCAGGCCCAGGTGTCGGCTGAGCTCAGCACCAGCTCGGACGCTCACTTGGGCCGGTTTAGCGACTGTCACTGTCCGACATCCACAGCCGGACAGGATGCCGCCTCTGCTGAGTCCCAGGAATCTCTCCCGACTCTTATGCCAAATGGGCCGTTTCTGCTTGCTTCCACAGACAGCCCAGCCCTCAGACAGTCGCAAGGCCCCCTCAAGCCCGCAGCCTGCAGACGCCCCTCAGATGCTCGCCCCCGACCCCGCCCAGCCCGGCAGGTCGCTCCACGGGTGCCTGAAACCCGGCCGGGCTTCACCTACCAGAGATCTGCTGGGACACTCTGCTGTCACGTGACTGGCAATGGCACTTGGAAAACACTAAGAGAAAAGGAAAAAGAAAGGCTTCAGAGTTGAGAGCCCAACAAGTCAGATCCCAAACATGTACCCTCCCGTTCTGATTTGGGCCATCCTGGTCGCCAGGAGAGCCGGGGATCCGTGCAAGAGAGGCAGAGCACCCTGGAACCCGCCGCACACCGGCTCTCTCAGGTGTGGCACCCGCCCCCAAATGCTCATGTGCGTGTCTACTGCTCCGTCTCGATTCAGCATCGCACCGGGGAAACGTAACACAGACTCAGCAGCTTTGTCCAAGGCAGGGTCTGTGTTCCAACTTGCAATTGTCCCGATGATGTCCTGGTCCAGCTGGGTCTGTTCCCAGCTCAGGGCCCAGTCGATGATCACGTTTCATGTTTCTTGTCAGTTCGCTGGCCTCGTTGACGGGGAGGCCTCAGCTGACGCTCAGCGGTGCCGCCTTCACGATGCCGCATCTCTGGAGGGAGCGCCAGCTGGCCGCTGGCGGACTCGGTTGGGCTATCAGACTCAGGGCCCCTGGAGACACCGTGCCCTGCCCACCATGTTTGACCACTGGGGGCTCCTCCGTTGGACCAGCATTCCTGTCCCTTTGTAATCAATAAATGCCTTTTCCCACTTATTTTAAGGAGCTTGATTTAGCTCTACACGATTCGGGCAGAGGGAAGCTCACGGGAGCACAGGGCTTCCTCGAGGTTGCTGAGTGCTGGGCCCAGCCCCCTGCCATCCACCTGCCCCCCAGCTGGGGGTCCAAGGCGCCCAGCAGTCTGCCGCCCCAGCCCAGCACAGCCTGCTGGGCCCAAGTGTGTCCGGGCCCCGGTTACCCATCCACACGCCCACAGAGGAAAAGGAAATGCCCAGGCCCTTGGTGTGGGTGCACAAAGCACAGGAGCCTGTGGTTTGGGGGCATCACGTGACACGTGGAAACTCGGGTGTGCAGGGGTCCATCGCAGCTGCTCCAAGCGGATGTGTGGCCCACACCCAGCCGGCAGCACAGCCAAGGGGGGCCGAAGCCTGGGGGCCATGTGTTCCCCAGGCCACATTTCAGCTAAACGCTAAACAACATTAAATTACGTAAGTCAACTCGGACTTACTTATAAAAGGATGAAAGGCCCATGTTTAGAACAGTGACTGTGTAGTCAGTAAGCACTTACCAAGCACCAGGTGCGGCACTAGGCATTTACGGTAGTCGTATTCAATGTAAAATAATATAAGTGTATTACATTTTAAAACGTATTATAAAACAATATGAATGTTATATGTTATAAAATAATAAAACAAGTATTTTTCAGGGAAACTAATACAAAAAATATAAAATACTAATAGCAGCTACCGCGTCCCCGGTGCCGCAGTGGTTAAGAATCCACCTGCCAATGCAGGGGACACGGGTTCGAGCCCTGGTCCGGGAAGATCCCACATGTCGCGGAGTAACTAAGCCCATGCGCCACAACTACTGAGCCTGTGCTCTAGAGCCCGCAAGCCACAACTACTGAAGCCCACACTTAGAGCCCGTGCAAGAGAAGCCACCGCAATGAGAAGCCCACGCACGGCAACAAAGGGTAGCCCCCGCTCGCCGCAACTAGAGAAAGCCCACGTGCAGCAACACAGCCAAAAATAAATAAATAAAGTTATATTTAAGAAAATAATAGCTAATCTGAGGGAGTAAATAGTATCATGATTACAAAAATACATCTGTATGAGGTACTGGTATCCTCAAGCCAGTTTTAAAATAATAATAATAATACCAGCCAACATCCCGACTCATTTAATCCTCGGTTCCCAAATCACCCTGGTCTGGGACCCACGAGGACCTGGGAAGCATCTTGCTTGGCCCACCAGCGCCCACTCCCCACCCCCGCCCCTCCTCCCACTGCTTTCCGGCCTGACTGCCCCAAAACCGAGCTCAGAGGTCGGCCACACTGACGAGGGCCACCCAGGGTGTACTCACGGCCACTAAGATCCAAAAGAATGTCACCGAAAGGTGCGGGCCCGAGATGGCTTCATCCACGTTCAGAGCGATGACCCCTCCAAGGATGGCGGAGACACCGGCAATCACCTCGATGACCTGGGGGCAGAGAGTGTCACCCAGGGGAACGGGCAGGCTCCCCGGGGTCCCTGGAAGGGGGCGGGGGTGTGGAGGGTCCTGTGAGTTCAGGGCAGAGCATCAGGGCGCCCCGTGCTGAGACGCTGAGGATAACCTCCAAGGGGATATCGAAGACGCCTATTTCCAACCCAACTTTGTGGGAAGGGGAAGGAGGAAGGTCCTGCCAGTTCAAAGGAAGGTGGGAAAAGGCATAGAAAACAGGAAACAAAAAGATGGAGAAATAAATATGAAAGTGTCAGGAGCTGCGCTCTGAGTGAACCAGCTCAATTCAAACGGCACCAACACTCTGTACAGGAACTGCCCAAACGTAAGGACAGGAAGAGCTGGAGGAAGAGGGGAAGATACACTGGGAAATAGTAACCAAGAGGTAACTGACGTAGTCAACAATATATGTGCTATGGCAAAAGCCATTACTGAAGAGAGTTGCTCGTAATGATTTAAAAACAAAAAAAAAGAAGGAAGGAATTCTAAACTTTCGCGTACCTAAAAACCCAGGCTCCAAAACTCTATGGTGAAAAGCTACAGAATTACAAAGACAGATTGATAATGCCCACAGACTGGGAGGTTTTTAACAGATCTTTCAGTAATGGAACGAGTAGACTAAAAAATTTTGGAGAGGACGTAAACGAGTGAAAACACAATTAACGTATAATTTATGGACACATTGAGAGTAAAAGGGGGTGTGCTGTCAACCAGGACAGTTCATGTACCAGGGACACGCCTACACCATATTTATCTAGTACTCCCCCCAACAGTGAAACAAAATAAGGAGAAAGAAAAGCTTTTCTTACGGAATAGGATTTCAGGACCCGAGCAGGAAATGTCACTTCATACAGAATGTTGGTGCTCTCGGAGGTGCAGCCCTGAAAAGAAACAAAACCTCATCACAGGGGTGGCCGTCCGTCCAGGCCGTCGCTCGGGTGATGGTCTGAAACGTGGGCATCTGGAAGACGCTCCTGGATCTCCAGGCTTCAGCGCAAAAGCTCAAACACGGACCTTCTCGTTGCACATGAAAATGTGTTTGATTGCTGAAGTCCTAGTTTACAAGGTGATACTTTAGGCGGACTTGGTCTCTGCGTGTAACACTACTGGGGGGTGGGGGTGGTGTTGCTTGGTCAGGATCAGCCTACGGAGGAGGTGGGGCTGCATCCCCAGGTTTGCCTCCCCGGGGCTGCCGGCCCCTCGCTCCACAGCCGGGTCTGCGGTACAGCCGTGCCGCAGGCTGAACCAACCTTCTGCTTGCGGTGCGCCTCGCCGGACCGCGCAGAGACGATCACCGTGGCCGCCATGAAAAGCTCCAGCAGAAGCAGCAGAAACAGATTGAAATTGATCTGCCAAAGGAGAAAAACATACGTCTGTGAAACCGGCTTCTTCACTTTCATCCCGTAAACGTGGACAATCCCACGAAGGGGCTCAGAGGCCTCTTCAAAGTTTCGGCAACTTTTCTGTCCAAAGCCAGATGCCAGGCACGCCCCTCTGACTCACGTATGTCTCTGTCTGTTGGTTGGTGGGTTTTTGATTCTAAATTATTGTTGGCTCAGGGGCTGGATTTGGCCCTCGTGTTGTAGTCTGCCCTGATCTCAACCTTCCTTGGTGGTTGGTCTCTCCTGGTTATTTACTCTAAAGGGATGAAAACTTACGTTCACACCAAAACCTGCCCACGTTTATAGCAGCCCTGTGCATAACTGTCCCAAAGAGAAAACACCAGGGGGTTGGGGGTTACGGGGCTGATGCATGTCCTGGCTGTTGGCAGTTACAGAAATCCATGCCTGTGTTTAAATCCACAGGACAATACACGAACAAAGTTGATTTGACTGTGTGATATAAAACCAGCCAATCGGGAATCTCCTGGCAGTCCAGTGGTTAGGACTCAGCACTTTCACTTCCGTGGCCAGGTTCAATCCTTGGGTGGGAAACTAAGATCCCAGGCAGCGTGGCCAAAAAAATAATAAAATAAAATAAAACCAACCAATCGAGAGCCTCTATGGGCCTCTCCCGCCACCTGCCCCGATCACCTGGGCAGCCCCTCCGCCCTGAGCCCACCGAGGTTATTCACGCTGGCAGGTCTGAGCCTGCTCACCCTGCCTCACACCTCTCCCTGCGGAAACCCAGTGAAGGCTCCTGCCCACGTGTCCCCTCTCCCTGCCTCCTGACCGGCCCTGGGGCCCCCTCCTCTTGGGATCTGTGATAAACTGTCTTTGCAGTGGCAGTCATCTCCTGATCTCTTGGCCTCACTATACCCTCAATGATGATTTTTTAAAATTCTACATTTAAAAACAAATGCAACTAATAAGTTGGATCTACAGAACTGTACATGCAAAATAAAACATAGAATTTTCATTCTTTTGTAGCATTTGTGTAACACTAACAAAAATTGACCATCTATTAGGCCACAAAACAAACCCCAGTAAATTCTGAACAATCAACCCATCATAGGTTGTACATTCTGACCCTAATGTAGTGATATTAGAAACCAATAATAAATGGGTGACCTTTTAAGATAATCCCACATGTCTGTTTCATCAGGGTTCTAGGCAGAGACTGACAACCAGAAATACAAAGTGAGGTTAACAGAGCAAAGCCAGTTCTTCGAAAAGACTACTAAGAGATACAATAGAGATATAAATTACATTTCAGAATGAAAAGGAGAAATATCTAAAATATTTGGCTTGAATTAAAAACGGTGAGCAAGATGAACGACCATAAACTAATAATTTCGAAAACCCGCACGATATGGATAAACTTTTGATAAAAATATAAAACCCAAAATCTGACACAAGAAGAGACAGAAAACTTTAACACTAATGATGAAAGACCACCCCTCACCAACAGCCCCGGATGGAGATGATTTTACAGGTGTGTTCTACCAAACTTTCTAGAAGCAGTGACTTCTTATCATATCAAGGTTTTGCAGAAAACAAAAAAGAGATAAGAGCTGCCTCGTTCATTTTATGAGACCAGTATAACCCTGGTTCTAAAACTGGACAAAGGGGGCTTCCCTGGTGGCACAGTGGTTAAGACTCCACCTGCCAATGCAGGGGACACAGGTTCAATCCCTTGTCCAGGAAGATCCCACATGCCGCAGAACAACTAAGCCCATGGGCCACAACTACTGAGCCTGTGCTCTAGAGCCCACAAGCCACAACTACTGAAGCCTGCGCACCTAGAGCCCGTGCTCCACAACAAGAGAAGCCACTGCAATGAGAAGTCCGCGAGTAGCAACAAAGACCCAAAGCAGCCAAAAATAAATTTAAAAAAAAACACAAAAACTTATTGGAAACTCTTTAGATACAACCTATTTAAAATCAGGAATAAGGGCTTCCCTCGTGGCGCAGTGGTTGAGAGTCCGCCTGCCGATGCAGGGGACACGGGTTTGTGCCCCAGTCTGGGAAGATCCCACATGCACAGAGCGGCTGGGCCCGTGAGCCATGGCCGCTGAGCCTGCGCTCCACAACGGGAGAGGCCACAACCGTGAGAGGCCCGCATAACACACACACAAAAAAACAAAAATAAAAAAATAAAATCAAGAATAAGACAGAGAGTCCCACGGTAGCAGAAGTCCTGGCCAAAGCGATAGAGAAAAAGGAACAACAGGGTTAGACTGAACAGGAGCGTTTAGACTGTCGTTATTTGCAGACCATAGGGTGACCTACATAGAGAAACCAACATAATCTACAGAAAACTTGAAGGATACGAGTCCAGCAAAGCTTCCAGGCACAAAGTCCACTTATAAAAATCCATTTTTAAAAACCGGTACAATATGAATAAGGTCTAAGTTAACATGTGCCAATGTCAGTCTCCTGATTTGACATGTAAGATGCTCTCATTGGGGAAAACTGGATGAAGGATACACAGGAATGCTCTGTGCTATTTGTGCAAATTCTTTCCAGTCTCAAATATTTCAAAATAAAGAAAAAATGAAAATCAGTAGCCTCTCTCTGCACTAGCAATAAGCCATCTTAAAATATAATTTAATAAATAAGACACCATTCATACTAGCAACACATCTGTGAACCATCTAGGGATTATCTAACCAAGAATACATGGAACTTTCCAACCCTAATAAAGGACAGAGGTGATGTGAGTAAGTAGAGAGACAGTCTATGCTCTCAGTGGGATGACTCCACACAATAAAGATATCACTTCTCACAAAATTACTCTGTAAACATCAAGTAATCGTAATAGAATCCCAGCTGTATTTTTTGAGGAACTCAATAAACTCATCCTAAAATTATATTTGAAGTAGGAGCCGTCAGCTTTGAAGAAGGAAGACAGCCAGAGTCACGGAGCCACAATAAGCAGCATGGTGTCGAGCAGCTCGCGGGGCAACTTGACACACGGCGTGACAGCAAGTGCTGCGGCTCACAGGAAGAGACCCCTGACTTAGGACAAGCCAAGGACGGGAAGGAAGCCCAAGAAGGCAAACGCCCAGGAGAAGGGGCTCAAAAGTACTAGTGATCAGAGAGTGTGACCTGAGGTAACAGCAGGCCACAGCACTGTCACCAGACGGGAAAACGGGGGCTGTTGGGGACACCAAGTGCAGGAGAGGCTATGGGACCTGGCAGCCTCCCGCTGGCGCTGGCGGTGAGGGTGTGTCCTGGGCTTAGCTGAATCCAGGTGGACTCACGCCCCTCCCCGGCCTACGAGGACCCCGAAGACATGTGCCCACGTCGGCCCAGTTGTGGAAGGGGAGCGTCGGAGGCTGTGGAGCTGGATCCTTCCCTAAAGAAAGCGGTGCCCACGGCCGACATGCAGCAGCCCAGGCAGGGATGGCAGGTGGGAAAGAGGGAGCAGAGACTCTACAGCGAAGCCCCGCGTGGCTGTCCCCAGGGCGGAGGCTCAAGTCCAGCGCGCGGCTCAACAGGGAGACAGGGGAGGGGAGCAGTCCCTTTCCTGAGCGGCCTCACGCTGCAGTTTCCTGTTTCACCATCTGTGACCTTGTGTTTGGACACCGGTGGTCCTGACATCGTGGTCCTGGGGGGGTCCTTCCACGTGTTTAGGTGTCCGAGCTTCGTGTCCTCCACGCGACCTGGCTGGACCTTCGAGGTGGCGGGAGCCTGAGGGTCTGGCTAACGGCGGGCTCTGGCGCCGGGGCCTGGGTTCGGGGACGATGCAGGTCCAGCTCCAGGGGAGGCCATCCAGTAGGAGGAGGCTGTGAGCATGAAGCTTCATGCATCTTTCACAATTTCTTCAACCATTTTTTGCACTTCGGGGGCACCATCCTAGGTAATGGACGTTGGCTTATCTGTTTTGGTTTGGGGTTTTGGCCACGATCCACAGGGCTGCTAGGAACACACCACCTGGTCACATGCGTGCGTGTCCCTCCAGGGTTTGTGCCATGGGGCTCCCCAGTGTCTGTACTTCTTTAGAAAAGGACCTGCAAATTCCAGACTTTTCCACAGAGCCGCGGCAGCGCATAGGAGTTGCCGGACGTGAGGGAACCACCCTGGGCTCCTGCCCGTCCCGATGCTGGAAACGGCATCTCCTGTGGCTTTCATTGACCTCCTCTGATTACTAGTGTGGCTCCTCTGAGCTGCGCGTTGGCGCTGTGGTTTCCTGCTGGTGAGCACCCGGCGCAGTCCCCTGCTGCCCTTCACTTTCTCCCAAGGCTCCTCGTGTACCCTGGGACCGGCCAGCCACTCCAGGAGAACGTGTCCCCTTCCGTACAGAGTGTGCTCCTTGTGTCTGCGGGACAACTGGCCGCGGCTTCGTGGTGGGCGGGCCGGGGGCAGGGCCCCCCCAGGTTGGTCACGGCTGTGCTCCGGGCCGGGGCCGCGCACGTGGGGCTGCCTGGGCCGACTGGTCAGGGGCGGCTCTCCTGTCCTGCTGGGACAGCTGTGGGGTGCGGGTGAGTCCCCAAACATGTACTCCAAGGGGGCTCCACCCCAGCCCTTAGTCACCACCTAAACCTGCTGGGTCCTGCCTGCAGGGGCACTTGCTCTGGACCCATGGGACAGGCGCCCGCTTCTGCGTAGGGTTTCTTCGGTAAAGAAGCATCGTAATTCTCAGCGAGGCTTTATAATTTTCTACAGGAGTCTCCAGACTTTTTGTTAGGTTTATTCCCAGGAACTTTATAAAATGATATCTGTAATTAAATAACGTTTTCCAAAATCTCTGTTTCTGGCACAAACAATTGTTTTACATTGATTTTCACATCCAGCAACCATGCTACGTGGGCTTAATAATCCAAATGTCAAGAAAGCAGAAAATCGTCTCTTCTGCAGAAGATGGCAGCACGGGTGCTCCTTTCAGATCCGCGTGTCTGTCCACTTTTCATGCCCTAACACACCTGGCTGAGATGTCCTCGGGCCACCACATCCTCAATCCCGATCTTAAAGAAAACGTGTTGAACACAGAGCAGAGGTATCTCTGATCAGGTCCTGTTTCCTAGAGATATTTTTTCTGCTGCATTGTAATTTAAATGACAAGACTCTTCCATTTTTCTTAACGGGACATAAAGTAACAGGGCAACTTACGTCAGCTGTATCGCAGATCTGATGAAGAATGTTATTACATTACTGTTAATGTTTAAGAACTGTTGTGAAAGAGGTACAAAAATCAGTGAATTCGTCCACTGAAATCAGTGAGAGCGTTAAAGACAATTCTTTTCTTCAGAAGCCTAAATGAAATTCTCAAACTCAAGAGCTACGATACACATCTGCGGTGTAACTACCTGGCAGATAGCTCACTAACGCCTGCTCCAAGCCCACAGGGCTCAGCAGACCCAGTGGGACCAGAGCCCTCGGCTCCTGTGACCCCGGGAGGACCCACATGGCTTTCCAGGGACTCACATCTACTGCTGACGGGTTCAGTACAAGTTTGCATCCAAACCAGATCAAACATGTCGTGGTGACGGCGAACGTGGACACAAACAGTATCTGGAAGTTGGGAATCTGGAAAACAAGACAGGAGGGGTTTCGTCCTCCTTTGTGTGAAGAAAGAAACCAAGTGACATTCAACCACATAACCGGGCATTAATCACCCATCCCAAGGATGGGGCACCTAGAGTCAGCTGGGGGGATGCCTGCGAGCTCGGGCCCCTCGGCCCTCCTGGGGGCAGAGGGAGCGGGGATGAAGGAAGCCCCACGGCGCGGGTGCAGGGCTGCAGAGGGTGCGGACAGAAGGCTGGACTCACCGCGCTGACGTTTCTCCTCCAGACAGCAAAGCTCACAATGGCTGAGGGGATGCACTGAAAAGAGAGAGCAGGTGAGCGTCCCTGCTGGTCGCTCTGTGTCCTGAAGACCCACATGGCCCGAGACATGTCCCCCTCCATCAGACGCAGTGGTCCCTCTCGACGCTGAAGGGTCCTAGGTCTTTCAAAATAATAATTCTGGAAAGAGTTTTAATTGTTCTGATGATGAAAAAGACACCGAAATGAAGACTGTCCTAGCTGGACGCGCTTAGAAGCGGATGTAGCTTCCTGTGGCTCGAGACCAGGCGTGTCTTGGTAAGAATCACGCAGAAAGGGGAAACCATCTGCGTGTGAATGAGCAGAAATGCTCAGGGGTCCCAGAGCCCCCGGGGTCCTCGTCAGAGGTCCCCACTGCGTCCCCGGAGGCGAGGACAAGGGAGAGGGCCAGCCTGGGCTCAGGGGGGGGGGGGGTTGGGGGGCCAGCCTGGGTCCCGTGGGCCGTGCCGGTGTCGCTCTTGCAGCAACGGGACCTCCCCGCCCAGACCCTGCAGTGGGAGCTGGGGGGGGGGGGGCGCGGGGGGGGGGGGAGTTGGGGGGCCAGCCTGGGTCCCGTGGGCCGTGCCGGTGTCGCTCTTGCAGCAACGGGACCTCCCCGCCCAGACCCTGCAGTGGGAGCTGGGGGGGGGGCGCGCGGTGGGCGAGCCCAGCAGGGGTCGGATGGGGGCTGGGCACTGACGGAGGAGCCAGTGGGACCACGTGACTGGTCTCCCTAGCCCGTCACCCCTGGGGGTGAAGGACGCAACTGAAGATTTTGCTGGGACATCAGCCTAGGTCAGCGTGGCCCTGGAGCCATCTGAGTCAGAGGTCAGAGGTCCCCGTGACCCCCAACCAGGGCTGCTCCAGTGGTGAGCACAAAGGGCCACCTAGAAGATTCCAGAGAGAAGGGCAGGAAACGGGTCAAATTCTTTCAAGGGGTTTTCTTCTAAGGGAGTGGAGGCTGGGCAACCTGTGGCAGGGGGTACAGGGTAAGGGCAGCTGCATCTGTCTTGTGTTTTCAGACATTTGGGGATGCTGACAGGGCTGGAACAGGAGAGCAGATGGGCGAGAGGGCCCCCCAAACCCCAGGGGATGTGCCCTGTGCTTGAGCTGGCGGGAGTCACTGGTCGTCTCCCCATGAGGACTGGTGGCTCCCCAGGCCTCGGCTCTGAGTCCAGAAGCAGGTACAAGCTTCAGGGAGGGGTGGGGGTGTGGCCCCCAAATCACAGAGGGGCTTCCCTGCCGGCTCACGGGGCAGCTGGGAGCAGCATGCACCTGCGTGTTGGAAATCAAAGTGCCGTTTCTTGCTCTGGAGTCTGTGGGGTAAGATAGACTTGCCTCATAGATCATTTTCAAAAGCAACAGATGCTATTCGAAGGCAAAGTATAGGAAGAGAGTTTGAATGAGGAGCGAGTGACAGCAACGCGTAAATCTCAGAGCAAAAAACCCAGGTGCATAACCTCAAACATCAGTGCTGACACAGGACTGCTACTCACTGAGCCTGCAGCACAGCGTAGGTAATCCATCTCCAAAGGAAACACATTTCCCAGGTAGAGGGAAAACCCCGAGGTCACAAGCAGGCAGCTCTGCAAAACAGCAGCACGAATTCGGGTGACAACACAGTCAGGCCTGAAGATGAGGAGGCTGAACAACTAGCCCTCTGACTACAGCTTAACTCTGTGCAACCCCGACATCCACGCCTGGATCCCGCCAGGACGGCAGCCGCCCACCCTCCCCCAGGGGCAGGTTATGGGCATCTACACTTATCTGGGGGACAGGAGACTCTGTCAAAATTCAAAGCAAGAAATGGCAGCTCCACTCCCCAGAAAACACCTTCACCCCACATGTGCAATTTCAGGGGCCTCGGGGCCCCCCAGGTCCAGGCACAGAGCTGGGCATACAACCCCAGCCCGCTCAAGGCACCGGAGGTGGAAACTCACTGCACAGGGTGAGGCCATGGGGTCGAGGTCACTGGTATAAGGTCACTCAGACCCGGGTGTGGGCAGAGGGCCGTGCGCACCCCATGGAGTGGGGGCACCGGGGCCCGCAGGCCCAGGGGGCGGGGGAGGCCAAGGCGCACCCCTCAGGAAGAAGAGGGCAGCGGGATCATGGGCCGTGGCCGCGGGCCGCTGCAGGCAACAGAGTCCAGGACCCGGGAGTGAGAGGAGGCTGACCGGCCACCCACCGCCCACCCGGGGGCTGGAGGGAGGAGTGTCCTCTTCGACCCACACGGTGGGAGTTCCCATCTCAGTGGCACAGGGTAGCGGCTGGGGGGAGGGCGGGCAGGACCACCAGGGTGCCACGGGGCTGGCCCGCAGAGCCCGGGGCCCAGGGAGGGGCAAGGCCCCAGCCCGGATCCTGGACCTCGGCCTCCGGCACGCTGAGCCCCGAGCTCCCTCCCACAGAGCGGCGCGTCCAGTGGCCAGCCCAGGTGACCACTGACCAGCATCCAGTGGCCAGCCCAGGTGACCGCGCCCGCTCGGGCCAAAAGGGCTTCTTCTGTCGTCCAAGTGCTTATCCAAGCGTATCGGAAGGGAGACGTCCCAGGACCCCAGGCAAGGTCCCCTCAGGCCTTCCCCCTCCTCCCTGCTGGCCCTGTCCCCTGGTCCCTCAGCCTTCCCTGGTCCCATGGCCCTGGGCTCCTGCCTCAGGACGCCGTCCTGCTGTCCACCCCGCCAGAGGCCCCTCCTGCGAGCGTGGCCCCTCCTCCCCACCTCTGCAGACCCCCAGGAGGTGAGGGTCGTGGAGGCCGCCCTGGTACAACACACGAGCCGGTAGGCTCAGCGTGGGCCCTGGGCTGTCCGACCCCTGCCGGGACACAGAGCTGCCACGGCCCAGAGGCCAGCAGGGCCAGCAGGACAGAGCCTCACCAACTGAGGAAAATAACTCAAAGAGCACAGCGAATAAGCACATCGGCACCCGTGAGTCTCTCAGGGGCAGAAGTAACCCGGGGCTGCTCTTCCCCGGGCCATTGGGGAACAGCACCCAGGCAGCGGACCCCGGAGGGGACGGTGTCTCTGTGGGCCTGGCACAGAGGTGCTCACCCCCATCAACACGGAGAAGACCCACGTCTTGTGGCTGAAGCACGGGGGCAGCCTGGAAGACAGCTGAAGGTCACTGGGCTTGGTGTCCGGGGCATAGCTCCCCACATCCGGCCGCCCGCGCTCCAGCGGGGGCATCCGGTCGTAGCCCAGCTCCTCCCGGGCCATGGCGCTGCTGGGGGGCAAAGGCTGACATTAGCGGTCGCAGTGCTGCACTCACCACACCGCCACTTATTTATTTGTGATAAGATTACAAATTTCACTTCTGATCACTCTGAAAAAACTCCCAAAGAAGTGATTTTCGATAAATACTTGTTTTTAAGTTGTTTTCAGTAAAAGAGATATCATTTGTATAGAAATACCATAAGAAGAAAGTAAGCAGTTAATTCCACGAGTGAATAAAATCACTCTCCCAGGAAAACAAAGCTGAACAGTCTAGATTCACAGCAGAACTTTAGGCTTTAAGTGCTTTGCCCTCCCACCGCCCCCCTCAATTTCACTTCCACTGGCAGCTTCATTTATGAGTCTCATGACGTGCTGGCTACCCCAAACTCCAACCTGGACAAGAGATCACAGATGTGCTCCACACGAGGGTTTCCCGTCTGCACACTTACCTCTGCGGCAGTTCTGGTGTGGGAGCGCCGGTCTCTGGGTGAGGGGCTCCTGTTACCGAGTCACCCTGCCTTGGGCGTCCAGCAAGAACTATTCACAGACAGAACAAAAGCCTGGCAGAACTGCACTTAAGCCAGGCAAGGAGGACCGCTTCCTGAATTTCAATGAGGACGTGAAGCGAGGGACCCTGGAAAGTTCTTGGTGGTTGTATAACTGCTGGCCCAGAGTTCCGCTCCATCCTGCGCCAACCCCAACAGGAGCAGAGGGGCCTCATCAGGTCCCCTGGAGGCAGACAGGTTGCAGGCACTGGGGTGGGCATCTCGGAAGAAAAGGTGTACCCGAGTGCAGAACTGCACCAAGCACAGGATCCTGGTGGGCCGGAGGGCCGGGTACCTGTTTGGGAAACAAACACATTTTTATCCAAAGCCTTACTCTGCATCCTTTCTGGCAGCCCTTTTCCATCCCCTGTGATCACACAAGGAACACCTCCTTCACAAGGTCTCACACACATTTGTGCTCAACGTGGCTGACCTGGCCCTTGAACTGCTTGGGATTCTGACCCGCATTTTCCTGTGGGCAGCGCTGGGTCCTGCTGTGCCCTTTCTTTCTGCCCAACAAGCAGAGGGAAAGGACGGCAGGGCACTTTGCCCAGAGACGCTGGCGCCCCACAGTTACAGCACCAGTCTTTGTGCCCACAGGAGCGCTTAAATGGCTCAAACCAAAGCATTCTGCAAAGCTGGCTCCTCAGACCACAAGCCCACATCAGGCTTGAGCAAAGGCTTCAGTTTCCAATCATGGGATGCTCTGTTGTCTTCGTTTATCAACCAATCAAGAAGGATTAGAATTAATTTTCACAAACTGTGAAGTCAAGAAGGGATTTTAAATAGATTGAAAAACCTCCCAAACCTCCTTATTAACTGTCTTTTAAAGCAGTAAGTGGAACTAGCAGGAAATGTCCGACCAATGGAATTCTTCACTTCTCTCTCTGTTTGAAGAAAAGCATTAAGCAGGTTTCACCATTTCTGTGCCTTTCCAAAGTTGTTCCCTAAGAAATCAAACAAGCTGCCTTGAATTAGAGATCGTAGGACAAACCCCGCCTAAAGCATCCTGGGAAGACCTTCCTCGTTTCTGGTGGCAACACTAGTTTCTAGAACAAGCCCCAATCCCTCACACAAACTGTGGTTCCTCAAGAGTGCGTCCTCTGTCTTCCACTGCCGAGGTCCCGCTCATGCTTCAACATTCACCTCGCCGTTCAGCGAACATCTGCAACGTGAACAGGGCAGGCCACAGTCCTTCTCACATGGAGTCCACAATCTAATGGGGGGACAGGTGCACACAAGAAGAATAAATGGGTGTGTTCTATGGTGACGTACTTGACTCTCTCTGTGACAGCAAGTAAGTCCAGGGAGGGGATGAAGGTGCTACCTGGGGAGACAAGGCAGGCCTCACTGGGAAGGAGGCGAGGCGGGCAGGGAGCAGAGTTGCTGCAGGTGCAAAGGCCCTGAGGTGGCAAGGCTGGAGGATGGTGGGCACGAGGATCACATGAGGTAAGGTGCAGGTGAGGCCTCCAGGGACGAGGCACCTGTGGACATGGAGACAGGCTTGGCTTTGACTCTGAGATGGACTTGCTTGGAAGCTCTGAGCAGAAGAGTCCAGCTGGGAGGAGCACAGGCTGCGGGGCAGCAGGTGAGAGCAGGTCCTGGCGGGGATGGAGGTAGAGCGGTGGGGGTGGTGAGAAGTGACAGGATTCTCAATAGACTTTCACAAGCCAACCTGATCTGCCATCCCAGCGACATGGGGCGAGGAGGGCAGGAGCTCGGGAGACGGGAAGGTTCTCACCCTGAGCGGTGCAGCTGGAGCTGCCTCACCTGGGATGGAGAAGACAGAGGTCAGGAGTTTCGTCTTGATGATGAGGCTGAGGTGTCTGTTGGATGTCAAGTGGATCTGCTGATGAGGTGGAGTGGAAGAGTCCAGAATCCAGGGGAGGTTTGGGCTGTTGGATGGGAGGGGCAGCCCTGTGACGTGGAAGCTCCCACGCACGTCACCCTGGCTCTGGCGCCCTGCAGGAAGCCCGGCCCAGCTCCCAGCCCCCGTGTTGCAGGCTCTTGTTCTGGGACGTCTCTCCCCACTTATCCAATAAATCCCCAGGGCCTTTCCCACTTCCTTGTGTATTCCCAGCAATGAGCCCAAGACAGGGACTTAGCAGTGTTTCGTATCATTTAAGGAACAAGTATCTCCCCAGCTCTCAGGAAGGGGTTGTAATTACATTGTGCATCTATGGAGAGGCGAGGCCCAGGCTGTCGATCAGACTGAGGGATCTGACCCAGTAAAACAAAAACATGCCCATCAAAGCTAAATTGGACCCCAGCCAACAATACCAGGATACCCATGGTTTCCAACAGTACATGGAACAGTTGTGAAAGGAGACAAGGAGGAAAGCCTCGATACATTTTTTTAAATTAATTCATCCAAGTTTTATTGTCTGACCATGACAACATTAAATTAGAAATTATTAACAGAAAAATATCTGGAAAATCCTCAAATATTTAGAAACTAAACAATATACCGCTAAAATAACCCCATGGGTCAAAGAAGAAATCACAAAGGAAATTAGAAACTGAAGGAAAATGAAAATACAACACGTCAAATTTTGTACAATGCAGCTGAGTCGGAGCTTACAGAAATGTGTACTTTTAAACACTTATATCAAAAATGAAGAAAGTTCCAAAATTCATTATCTAATTTTTCACCTTAAAAAGTTAGAAAAGCACAAATCAAAGTAGAAGGAAAGGAGGTGGAGGAGGAGGAGAGAGGCAGTAGAGGCAGGCAGGGGTGGGGGAGGACAAAGAAGACAAAAACAGGAAATAACGAATAGAGAAAAATCAATGAAACCAAGAGGTGTTTTCTGAAAAGACAAATAAAACTGATAAACTGATGAAGACAAGAGGGTAGACATAAATTTCCAACATCAGGCATGAAAGATGGTTCATCACAGTGGATCACACGGACATAAAAAGGATGGTAAGGAAATACTGTGAACAATTTATGCTAATAATTTGACACCTTGGATGAAATGGACAAATCCCGTAAAAGATGAAATTACCAAAGTTTATGCAATATTGCTCAATACTGGTAACTTAAATAGCCCTTTAACTATTGAATTTATTGAATTTGTTAAAGCAGATGTACAATGTATGTCTGATAGGCCACAAGGCAGGCTGTTCTAGTTAGCGTAGAGTTCAAGCCAAATCAGGTGTAAGCCAGAAGGACTTCCCCACACCTCAATATGTGAAAATTTCTTCATCACTCAGGAGCAAAGATGCCACCCTTGACCACACATTACCAAGTTGAATTGATACACAAAAAGGATAATAAACAATGACCAAGTTGAGTTTTCCCAGAAAAGCACGGGTGGCTTAACATTTTAAATATCAATCAGTATGATTCACTCTCCTTAACACCCTAAAACGACATGATCACTTCAACACAGAAAAAAGCATTTGAGAAAATTCCACACCCAAGCGCGATAAGAACTCTCAGAAAAATAGGAACGGAGGGAACTTCCTCAACTTGATAAAGCATATCTGCCAAAGCTACACCTAACAGCACAGTGGCGAGATGCTCTGCCTTCCCCCTTCCCCCGACGGAGGGAGGGAGGCCCACCTACGTGAAGCCCCGCCCATCTGCGCGAAGCCCGGCCCACCAGCGCACGCCTTGAGCGCCAGGCATGACATCACTCCCACGCTTTGCACTAACGGTCAGCAACCGCCAACCACCCACAGCTAACAGGCTTGGCGCGCGCAACACCCCCATTGGCCGAGCTCAACCAGGCGTGGGCGCAGGCGCGGGCGCGGGCGCCACAACCCTATTGGCCAAGCTCAAGGGCGCACAGGCGCAGGCTCGGGCGCGGCGACCCCATTGGTTGAGGGCGGCGGGAGCGGCGCGCCGCGTGCGGGCGCCTAGGGCGGCGGAGGGCGTGGCAGCGGAGACGAGCGGCCAGGCCATGCTGCGCCTCGCGGGCAAGCTGGTGGCCTACTTCTGGAGGAGGGCGGAAGAACCCGAGGAGGAGGCCGGGCCGCCGGGGCCCGAGCTCGCAGAAGGTGCCTCGCGGGAAGGGCCGGTACAGGCCGCCCAGCCGGACGGTGGGCAGGGACTGTGGGCGGGCGCGGGGGTGGGGGGCGGCGGCTGGTGACGTAGTGAGAGCCGCTGAGGCCCTCAAAGCCTGGTTCCTGCGCCTGGTGGGGCGGGGGTGGGGGAGGAGCGTGGTCCGAGCCGGGTCCCAGGGCATTAGTGTGGCGAGATCGGGATTTGAGAGCTTTTGCTTGTTTTCTAACTCGAAGCTGAGGCGTGTCTGTCCCGTGATGATCTCTTCTTTGCAGTGTAACTTAAACAGGCCTTCTCACTACATAATAGCATTTTACGGCTTTTGGGGTCTGTGCCTCATTGTTTCCGCTTTGTGTTTTCATGCGCCGGGAGCGCCTTGACACGTGGACCCTGCACGGCTTCCCGTTCTCTCTGTGTCAGTGTCCCTTGCGGTTGTGTGC